TCTCTGAGCTTCTTCCCAACATACCTCTTGTGTGTATGTGTCACGTCTGGCAAAAACTGTAGTGTCCACTGAGAGAAAGAAGACATGTAGCAGATGCTCGACTGCATTTCTTTTCCTGCTTGACTGCAGTGACTGCTCTGAGAAGTAAACAATCCACTCAGTAAAACAAACTGCTGCAAATGCTCACTATGGGTTGTATCATTCAATTATTGCCTTGCTTATTCCCTTTCCCTAAACAGCTTTATTCAAATTCCCGTACCAATCTATATACTCCTGAATTTTTATCAGCTATATCTCTTCTCTCCAGGCAGAGCCCACACTTCCTTTTTGTTCCAAGACAGTTTTATCTATATGTAGGATTATATTTTTTTTTGTTGTTTTTTTGTAAGGTACTTATTCTTGGAATTAATTTCTGCTTTTTTACTAGGGGATGGCATTTTCTATAAATCAGACAATGAGAGAAAAACATATGATGTCTCCCATTTTCATAATCAAAAGAGCAGCTGATGTCAGAAAGCGAGATAAAAAAGGTGACCTTAAACCAATATGGTTCATTAGGACACTGCCTTTTAGTCTCAGTGTCCAATTTATCTCTGCACATGCAGGGTGAAGACTGCAAAGTAAGACTAATGAGTATGGCAGAAACATATGCAGTAATTCATCATCGTAACAAAGCATAACACAATTATCAGGAATTTCCTGTAGGCTTGCCATGATTACATGGAAACAAATTGTTTGGTCCGCTCAGTTAGAAGTGCAGAAATGCTGGACCAAAAAACAGAAACGGATTGTTGCCACCTATATACACAAATCATCCTTTTAGGATATGACAAATGTACAATTTGGCTTTCTTTTTTGGTTTGTACACTGAAATTGTATTCATTCAGTGCCTGGCCAAATAGGTCTCCATATTCTGAAACAGCACACACTGCAGAAAACAGGAAGAAGAGGCAGTTGACTGCAGAGGTAGAGGAGTTAATGGATGTAATCACTACACCTTTCTCATGCTTGCCAAAGACTTCAATGCAGCAAAAAGTTCTCAAGTAAGACTAGAAGGAAGGGAAACCTTTAATTAGTTGAAATTTACTTACTTTAAAAAAAAATTGTGTGTGCTTGGTGTATCTTCCTGGGAAAAGACTAACATCAGCATCACTTTGTGAATAATTGGGTTTGGTCCTGTTCCTGGTTTTCAGCTACCTGGAGTACAGTTTAGGCTGATGTTTATTTGACTTTCCTCCCAGAGGACCACTCTTCTGTAGGAGAATTAAAGCTATGCAATGCTTACACAGACATTTCTTGCACTTCTCATAGAGAACAAGGCCTATTCTGAGTAAGCACTAATAATAGACAACACTGCAAGTAGCTGCTTGGGGCTCACATGCCTGAGAGACATAATATTAAAGGCGAAGTCACTGCTGAAAGGAGCAGATAGATTGCATTTGCTATCACAGATCTCTACTGTGTTTCAGGGATCATGCCACTTAGGTAAAGTGGGACTTTGAGAGCTAAAGTCTAATTAAAATAAGTGGGCGTTACATAACCATGCTTGGAAGGCAAATTTTCTGCAATATTCCTTAGTGACTAGAAGCTGTCTTTCTTTAAAGCATTTATACAACTCAGCTCTAGCAATTTAATGGTTGGGAGATGATGAGGAAATAAATTAGATTTTGGTACACAATGGCCAAATTAATTTCAAGGGTATATGTAACTCTTAGCACTTAGGACCCATAACCACATCATGACCCATATCAACAGTAAGGTCTCAATTTTTCAGGGAAGGTTGGATAGCATACATCACACGACTGCTTTTTAGAAGGTGTTCTCATGCATCATGACAAAAGTCATGTTTCAGGGAATGCCTTAGCTCCACAAGGATATCCATTACAGTCAGGGATGCCCCAGGGATGTACCTGGACAAGAGAGTGGATTTGCCCCTCTGTCCTTATTTTTTTTGCTTTGCTTTAATTGCTTTGTCTCTGTTGCTTTAATGCTTTTCTTCCTCACCTCATTTATTTTATTGATCTTGTCTTTTCTCCTGTTTCTCTCTTTCCTGGTTACTTCTAGATTAGCACAAGGATGGGAAGTCCCACAGGGAGCCCCACTTGGCCCCTTTCTGCTGAGTAAAACAACCTGCCAAAGTGCAGATATTCTTGTCAGAAGCAATGGGGAACATTGCTGGGAGGGCCTGCCTTGGGTGTCACAGGTATTTGGTGATAATCTGTCATTGTCCTGCAGAGTCCAGGTAACAGTGCAGTAATTGTGCTCCACCAGTACTTCTCTAAATTACACCAATGAAGGAACTATATAAGGTGCAAAGAGAGTTAAACTCCCTCATTATGTCTGAGCCTGGTTTGCCAGCACTATTTTCTTAAGGGCTGCTGCACAGAACTCAGTCTCCAGCAAGGGGGAGCCTGCTGCAATCAGCAGACACATTATGGAGGAAAATATACCAGCTGTTAAAACCAGCCTCAAATTAATTTCACTGTATGGATGAATTCTGCCAAGTTCCTTGAATTTTCACAGACCAGTTTCAGCTACCTGTAATTTACTACTTTTTAAAATGTAAACAACTTTCAAATAAGATTTTATTGCATTTGAATATAAGTCTTGTCATGTTCTTTACTTTTCTACTTCGTTTCAAAGAATGTTGTGATGATTAACTCATACATTATGGGATGCCATGTGTAATGCTGCCTTGTGACAATAACTCAAATTGCTGTTTTCATACTACCTCCTGTCTCACTCTTGTTTTATTTTTACTCTGGTGTAACTAGGAGATCTATACCCTCACTCATTTGAGCAGAAATATTTTCAAGAAGATATTTCTGTCTCCTTTTCCCAACTGACTGCCAGCTCACACAGTCTAGAGCAATGGCTAAGTGAAAGGATCCAGCTAATACAGCTTTGCTTCCAGTTGTTACAGAGCTCACTTTCCCAGGAATTCTGCTGGACCTTCATTTGTAGAGCTCAGTCACTCATCAAAACATCACCGAGTTGTATGTGAACTATTTGAATGCCTAGTTAGTCAATGAGGCATACAGCAAGGATTCAGTTCAAACAAGCAAGGAGCAAGGTCATATCTTTACAATTTTTTATTTTTTTTTAAACAGCACAGGTTGACTAATTACTGAGTTTTACCTATGCCATTCAAAATAAGAGGCAGCACTATTAAATCTTCATTCTGGATATCAACAGAGAAAGAGAGCTTCTGGACAAACTGATCATGGAACAGAAATGATTTTTAATAATATTATTAATTCTTAACCTGAATAAAGATGCAGAGAGATCCATTTCATTTTACCATTTGAGTAGAAGAAATAGGGCTAAGGCTTTAAAGTCCCATAATACTGACAGTGATATGAGAACTCATATACCATGCATGGAGAACCTACAACACGGGAAAATTCTGAAAAATCTAGGAGGGAAGAAAGTGGCAGCAGAAGACATGCAATCAAGGGAGATTTGAGGCTTTTCTTCCATCCTAGCTCTCCTTGATTACACCAGTAGTAGCCTGTAACTGTTCACCAACTCCATATCCCAAATCCATCTAGAAAATGGTAAGAAAACTCAAGATAGGAGAATTCAGCTATCAGGAGCAGGCACAGATTGAGCACTTATTTTCCACCAAGTGTTCTATGCACAAGTGTCCCTACAAAGAAAAACCCAGAATGAAAACAGCAAGGTCTATGCAAATAGATGCATGAGGTTAATAACATTTTTGAGCCTATCCAGGGCTGGCACTATGAAACTCTATCATCCTCTAACAAGAAATACAGTCTAAAAGGATTTATTAAGATTATTAAGTCCGCCTCCTTGTGAGAGCAGGACTGTTCTCAAAATACTTGAAGCAGTAGTTTCTAGTTTAGCTTTAAATACACAAAACAATGGTTTTACTATTCCTTGTCTTGAAATGTATCCAGTACTCAGTGGCTTTTTCTGTTCTCCACTTGCAGTTGCTATATGTACAACAGAAAACCGCAATTTACATTAGGTGGCCATATATGAGTATGTTCAATCAGTAAAAACGTTTTCTTTTCTGCATTTATGGGCTGTATGGTGGCAGCCTTCAATAGCTGCCAGATATTAGGATGGAAAAGGCCTTAATCTTTCACATCACAACCTGATCACCTGTTCTTTTATCCTATTACTCCCACAGACTGAGCACCCCAAGGAACATCTCCAAACAGACTCTCCCTCCTTGCTGTCAAGGTCACTTATGGACATTTGCAGATATTCATCTATCCTTAGTCAGTAAACTGAAAGGCATTTCACTTTCTTTGTACATCCTCATCTAATAATGTTTCTCTCCGAATTGCCTCCAGTTCTCTGCACTGTTAATTAACTTTTATGCATTACCAGAGATGGATGCATCTCAGTAGTGACTTAAGTGATTTCTCTATAGCTTGTGTTTCAGTTTCCGTTCATAAAACACTTCAATCTACATTAGTCAAATTGTTTCCCCCTTGTAATACTTTAGCATTTCCACAGTATCTCTCATTCTAAAGTAATAAAAGGGCAGAGCAACAGAGGAAGGTCAAATACCAGTATTTGTCTTTGCCTGAACTACTCAAGTTGGTTAGGACAATAAAATATTTTCTGAGTGTTTGTCAACTCAGTATTTTCTACATGTCAGTTGCATTATTAAGTAAGAATAGCTGAGCCTTACCTTAAATACCAGTATAATAGGACCTTAGTTGTTTAGCAATATTGTTTCATACCAAAAAAAATCCAAACAAAAAAAAACCCAGCTCAAACCTTGTAACCACATGTGTCACTGTGGCAAGGATTTCTTTCACAGACTGTAAACAGCACATAGCTTTTCATGAACATTTTAAGGACATATCTAGAATTCACATACACTTTCACCTTTTATCACCTAATTATCAGAGAGACAATTTGCAAAAGTAAACAGTTCATACAGTGTCTGAACCTCTTAGCTTTACAATGAACATGGCTATAAAATTATTTAGTTATATAATACCAGAATGTGTCTGACTTACACAAATCTTGAACCATTTAGAAGTGTAAAGCAGATGTTTCCCAAACTGGTGGTCTACAGACTCCTATCAGTGGTCTGCAGCAGAAGATTTATGGCTGTCTGGTTACATGGTATTCATTCCCTATGGAGAGTGGGGAGAGAAGAGATTAACAAAGAACAGACACTGACCAAGAAAAAATATTTCGGTTTATCAACATCAGTAAAATATTTTTTTGATAAAGACTGTTGCCCTACAGTTTCTGTTAATAACTTTTGCATTTTATTATGATTTTATCAAACAGATTGCTTTTACTGAAGTGTTCTCTTACAGATTGTTTCCTCTTTTCCAGTCCATCTATTTATGGGAAAAAGACTACAGAAGATGTTATTCATAGGGTGTTTTTAACAGGCAGAACACTTCTTGATCTCAGAAACAGGTAAAAAGAGAACTGTCAGCTGGCTTAGGAAGTCTGATGACACTGATGAGGGCTAAAATGCAAAAAGTGAATGCACAAGCAATGGAAGCAAGAAGAGGGAATAAAACAATTACAACTGCATGTTTTCAACAAAATCAGGAAAGCCAAAATGATCTGATGCTCAAAGGCTTCACAAAGAGGGATTCTACAGGTCCATGAGCCTGCAAAAATAAGCTGCAGTGAAAATGTGGGTGTGCTGACGGGCAGAGAAGAAGAACTAGCACTGGAAAGGTTAAATACCTTTTTTCCCTTTATCTTCACAGGTAAAGCCTGCTTCTGGACCTTTGTGTTTTGTACAGTCTGCAAAGAAGAGGGGCTACCATCAGTAGGGGAGCAGTAGGCCAGGAGCTGCCCACAGCCTGGACATACCCAAATGTAAGTGGCTCCTTTGGTTGTCCAGAGAGGTGTTCAACATGACTCTGAGGTTACTGCCTGTCATCTGGGAAAAACTACAGCAGTCAGAGGATGTCCCTGATGACTAGAAACAAGGCTAACATATGTCTATTTTAGGGGAATGATGGTTACAACAGATACCAAGCCACATTTCAATACACGGGGACCTTAATAAACTCAGGAACTAGGATGGCAGAAACCTCATGAAGTTCATCAAGATACCAGCTTGGAATTCTAAGCAAAATAAATTAATATATTTTTTACCACTTTGGTCTAAAAATGTTATTAGTTTTAGGGTAGCCCCAAGTATGTTTTTCAAACAAAGAAACTGTTCAATAACTTTATTATGTTCTACTCCAGGTAAACCATGCCATATTTCAGTATGTATAATTTCCATTAACAGTTGCTGAATTTGGCACAATTATATACACAGAAAAGCTTTGGCCTTGTTTTTGTTAGAACTGCCTCTGTGACTTTCACAATTCCCTTTTATTTCTCTGTCATTGTCTGCTTATCTTATTTAATGTCGTTATTCTAATTCCCATGCTAATAAACTTACATTAAGAGCCACAAATAAAAAGGGGAAAAGGGCGAATACCTGCAAATTACTGTCTCAAAAACACGTTTCAGACTACTTTTTTTTTTTTAAACCAGTGATGGCTAAAATCAAGTTATACATTCAAGGAATACATTCAAGAATACTTGTTTATTAAAACGTAAAAACTTTTCAATATCACAAAATGGAGACAATTGCTCAAAGATCATGACTAACTCCAAACTTTATGAGGTTTAATGAAAGCTCTGCTTTAACTGTATTAGTTATCCAAGTAGTACAACTTGCACTGCAAGACATAAAAGATTCATGTCAGTAGAGATTTAAGCTCAGGAAAGTAGAACAATACTTAATGGTTAGTGAACTGCATTGGAATATTCCTTAAAGCAATTTCTTTTTTTCTATGTCTACATTACAATGCATTTTGTTTCACCTAACCCAGGTGAAAACAGGGTTTAGTGCTACCCCAAAATTCAGGCAAAACTTGTGGGCATCCAGATTTGCTTCACAGAGCAAACTAGCTCCAGAAAAGCAAGAAATTTTGAGAATTACTGGTTAGCCTCAAGCTTATAAGCAATAAGGAAAAAGAATAACTCTAAAGAAAGCAGCAAATTCAGTAGAAAGAACCTTTCCAGCAGTGTAATTTTGGATGCTGAAATACACTGTAGTGAAAAGCAACCTGCATGAAAGGTACACTGCAATTCTTTCTAATGCCTCTGATTTGGTTTTTACCTGAGTGAGACAACAGTGAACATGGAAACAATAATTATATTGGCTTCCTATATTTCTGGTCTCTCAATAGTTTTTCCTCTCAAATATGTAAAGCCACAGCTGCATTCTCTGAATATTTTCAGCTTGATTATAGAGCTCCTGCAACCTGTTTTATACTGTTTGTGCCAGGCAATAACCAAAAAGAACAAAAACATGCTAATGCTTGGAGAGATGCCATGAGCATAGCTACCTAGGCACATGCACATAACCAGAATTCACAGTGCTGTCTATGAAACCTGATGCTTGGGAAAGTACAAAAAGCTTGATTTAGCCATCAGTCTTTTGTCTGAGTTCACCACAAATTTTCAATTTCCTCCAGTTACCTTAATGTTCACAGGAAAGAAGCTTGTATTCAGTTGCTCCCTACCCATTTTTTGGGCTCTTCAGATTGTGCTGCAGCTCTTGGCTAACATACAGTGGGGTCAGGTAGGTCAAACCTTGCAAAATTGGTGTTTGCCAGGTTTGATGGACAACATTATTCCTTTTAGAGCAAACAATTCTGTCCTCCTTAGCCTGTGGATTTATTTTCATTGTCTATCACTATGCTTTTCACATATATCACACTTATCCATGTATATTTTCACATAAGCATACTTGCTTGGGCTACCAGCCCCTGCTTCAACCGCCCTCTATCCTTATTCCATGTTGTTAGCCCCTGCCTGTTGGGACTACTGCTCCCATTTTAATCCAAATCTGTTTTGGTAGACACAGTTCCTCCCTTCTGCCACATCCAAAAACCCAGCATGTTCCTATGCTACTTTATGCTGCCACAAGAATTTGTGCAGCCCCACACCCAAACCATGTCAGGGAACCAATGCAGATGAAAGCTTAGCAAGCAGAAAAGCAGTGAGCCTCTTTCTTCAACAGTGCTGGATTATGCCATCTTCATGTACATACTGTGGGATCAGCATTAAAAACTCTAGCTTCAGAAATTCTGACCAGTCCTGAAGTATGAGCAATTAATGTTTTAAATATCCCTTAAAATACAGGTCTTGTTAGAGATCATAGTGTCTGAGGCAGGAAAGCTCTTTTCTCCCCAGCTTCAGTTTGTGTGCATGCAGTCCAATTTTTTATTCCCAATTTTATTCCAATTTTTTATTTGCCTTCTCCAAAGGGGAGGGTGATGTGTCCAAGGCCTGGGATCCCTGGTTCAGCTTAACCTGAAACACCTCAGAACCTACTCCCATGGGTTCTCAAACTGATCAACATTTCCTTCTTTCCTATGTATCCCTTATGCCGTCTGTTCTCTTTCTGTGAGCTGCAATTTTTAAACATTGTTGAGACAGACAAGCATCACAGGCCATTTTATTTTTGGAGACTGGTGTGGATGGATAGAAAAGAGACATATATTTTGATCTTTCTATGGACTTCATTTTTGTTCTTTAACATTTTAGTCTCCTAGTTTAAATAGACAGACAGACAATTTGAACTTGGAGCATCTGTTGCCTCAGAAAAAAACCAGGATCACCATCCCTCTAAATATTCTGCTCATGTGTAGTGATCCATACCAGGCCTTATACTTCAGAAGGCTTGCATATCGAAATGTTAATTAACAGATATAGTCCATTTCCATATGTCTTCCTCTAAAGGTTACTGCAACAACATTTCCTGAATATCCTTTAACAATCTAATGGCAGCCTGGCAGTGGTCTCATGACAAATAAATTTAAGTGACATACAGGTTGCAGTGACAGAATACAAAGTATAATGAAGCAATGTACTTCTTATGGAGATGTGACATGAAAAACATTGACCTGTGGTCCTAAGTAATTTTCATAAGACAAAAGCTTTCATGATAATAGAAACAAATCAGTCAATGTGCCGAAAGACTAATATAATAAACCATCAGGGAAGCTATTCAGCTGTGTTAACTCCATTTAACAAAACAGGAGTCATTATTATTCCAACTTTGTACCTTAAGTTTGGTGATAACATTAGCTGCACTATAACAAAGTAGCCTTCTTGATTAATGGGAGATACCTCCAGAAATAGCAGTGGGACTCAACATGGAAACATGTGCTACCTTTCTGGTCATATTGAGCAAAACTAGCTTGACATTCGGAACACAGGGCTGGACAGGGGAGATTATTAATTGCAGTGAAGCTGAAGATAGTGCAGTGGTCCTGCATGAAATATTGCCAACTTGGAGACTTTTTGACGAGCAACTAGAACATAAGGAGGATGAAAGAGGCGTCAAGAGTGCAAATATTTTGTATGGGAAGGAGAAAAGAGAAGAAGAAAAAGTATTTTCAGTCCATGAATCGCAAACTGATTCTCAACAAATGGATACTATACTGCTTTTCAAGAGAAACAAAGCTGTGCTTCATCATATTTTTTACAAGGTGAAGTTGCACTGCTATAGCCACTGAGAATGGGAGAAATTAAGTGAATTACAGGCAATTTGGGATACAGGTAGAAAAAATTCACAGGCTATGATTACAAATTGTGCTTTCTAACTGTAAGCTCATCCTTACACACACATTCAGCAGTCTTCATTTCCTGAGGAGCTGAAATGTCTTAATGATTCTTTTCTTTATGAGCCTCACTCTCATTTGCAAGCATCTTTGCCATTCTGGTTTATAAATTAGACAGTATTGGGAAATACCAAAGTACCAAATAACCTGCTGTAAGTTTTTCAAAATACCCAGAAGACCTTCTTTTAAACCACTCCTTTCCTTATCCTGCAGTGAATTTTGGTGACTTTACACACTTAACAAACCAGTTTTCTCCTAATCTATACCACAAGCAACTCTACTAAACCCAGTCAGGATTTCATCCAATTGCACAATGTCCAGTCAAGTAAGCATAAAAGTCAAAGAAAGGCTGTAAGCTGGGACTTTGTGGAATATACCACAGAAAGGTCTGAACTATTTATTTGAGAAGGGCATAAATGGACATGCAGAGCAGAATAGAAGGGCAGAGAAAAGGAGGTAAATGAAAGAAGCAGATT